CACAGTCAGTAGCAACAATTGGTTCAAAACACTCAACATCTTTCTGCTGCTTCACAAATTTTATCTGGACCTGTCATGCTTGAAATCCATCGTCAGATTAGCTACTCATGATTGCTAGACAACATTCTAATAAATGCCATTCCTTCCACACCTGATTACAGCAATTGCTATGATCTTGCACATGATTTTCGTGCCTGCCTAGAGACAGCTCTTAGTAATAATTATTTGTCAATGAATTACAAAATGAAATCCATTGATTGATTTTTCTGAACGAAAGAGTTTTTATATTGTTGACCAAATGAGTCATGGTTGCCGAGAAACTAGACATTAAGCAATGAACTGTTAGCATTACTTATAAATGAGATTTAAAAAAATTATTGCTCTATTCACTCATAGAACAGAAATTTCAAGATGTAAGTGTAATACGCTTATGTATACAAATATGAGTGCGTATTTTTTTCATAGTAACAAAATGAAACGTGAAGGAAAACGAAAGCAAGAAAGAGAATATTGAAAGAACGAAACACATGCGATGATAAGTTCATTGATGAAAATATCATGCGTCATTGATTTACGTAAACATACGTAAGTTGAAAAAAAAAATCAACTAATTTCATCAACGATAAATAAGGCGCAAAATCGGTTGCAAGCATACAAAACAAAACTTGTACACATTAGTATCACTTATTAAGTGAGCACATTGGATTTTTTATATTATTAGACTAGCAATAAAAGTAAAACTGAATGTCAAGAGTAGTTACAAAAAACAAAAAAAACCGATGAGACACAAAAATGAGACATTTTAGTCCCCAGAGAGTAATGTCAAAAAAAATCGTATTGAGAACGATCAGCATATGAAATCTATAGTCTTGATTAAAGTATCTCTTCCATGTAAAATACTCCTACCAGAAACCATATAAAACAGAGTGACTTTTACAATGCTTAGAGTTCATCAAAAACAATGGTAATGACAGGCACGAATCTCATTCTTAGGAAACTAACAAGCCAGCAAATGCAAGAACTACCAATAGACTAGCAGTGTGAGTTTATATTTGCTTCCAATTTAATTTATGCGTAAATTAAATTATCAGTAATTTAAATTTAAAAATAATGAAAACTGTAGGCAATTTGATTTATTTTAAATTTAAATAATTTGGACTTAATTTATAATTTATAAAATTATCGATTAAACCAAGTTTTCCTTTTTTTTTTTTTATTTCGTATCAGCCAGACAGACAACGAAAGAAAAATTGCGTTAAAATACCTCGAACTTTTAATGAAAATTAAATTGTAAAAGGGGTAAATTTGAACACGTTTATAATGCTTTAGATTTTGGACCGGATATATTTTCGTTCGGAAACTTCAACGTGTTGTGAACACATAAAAATTTGCACTTTTCAAGATTTTATTTTCAATAAAATTGCGACGCATTTTTACGGTTTGTTTTCGCTGTTCATCCAACTAGGAAAAATATTAAAAAGAGATAAAGTATAATTGTATTTTGTGTATAAATCATAAATTATAAATTAAGTAAGAATCATTGAAATTTATCTTGAATTGACCGGTAAAGACACCCCTATAATAGATTTTTTTAATTATGTAGAAATACTTCAAAAAGCTATTTGAATCTTGACGAACTCAATCAAAATTGAAGATATTGAACATCAACAGAAAGGTCTTTATTCATAGAATAGAAGAAGTATTACGATTTTTTGAATGCAACGCATAGGAAAAATTTTCCACAAAGACAGCCTATTTGTCCTTCTGTATGAGAATTGGTCAAAGAGTGTAACGATTGGATGAATTTACCGATTGACATGCTTGTTCTTCTAAAAGAAAATCTGTATGGAACAATCTTCAATGATTCTCGTGTAGTTGATGTGGCAGACAGAATGACAGCCTTAGTATTCTCACTAAAGCTTTAATTTATTTTCTTTTAAGTGAGGCATGTTTTCAGAAGATCTAGCATACAACTCTATGATAAACATGTATCAAAAGGTTCTCTGAAGAAATCTGTAGATTAAAATTCAACTAGAATCTTCAACATGCGAAAAAGTCAAATTTTCAGTTTGTTTCGAAATAAACTTCAGAAGATCTTTTACACTATGTGAGAAATAAAGAAACAAAAGTCAGCATATTAGTGAGTACTTTCAAATCGGTACTTTTTTTTTGTCGTACAGCTTAAAGTTTGACCAAATCAAAACTGAGATTAAAAAAATTGCTTTCCGATAATGTCATGATAAGTGGCTAACATCCGCCATTATTCTCGGCTGAACTCGCGAAAATAGCATTGGATCGCATTTTGTCTCTGCGTTTGATATAGTAGTTGTTTTTAATCAAATTCAAGGAAACTCGAACTCAACAAAGCACCATTTCATAATCATTATATTTTTTTCCCTAGCAACTCAAAACACTTAAGTTAGAAGCAGTTAAATTCAAGAAAAACCGAAAAAGGCAATTACTGATGTACATCATAAGCGTGATGATGAAAATACTCAAAGGATCATCGATTAATTACACTTTTTGCGAGCTGCAAAATCTTTTTTATTATTTTATTTTTTTATTAAATGCTTGTTGAAAAAATTGAAGTAACAGGTTTTTCAACCTGAAAAGTTTGTTTTTATTGACAGCTTTAGGGCTCTAGGCACATTTTACCACACAACTTTCTTCAGACGCCTTCTGATTTGCAATTTGTGTAAAATTGAACGGTGGGCCTTATACAAAAAATACTTTAGTTTCGAAGAATGAATACTGAAGGATATATAGTGAGAATAGTGAGTCCACCATTCTTTCTGTTACTCCGGTTAGTTCGATTTGAAACAAATATAGGAGACTACTTAGGATTCAAAAAACCGTCTCAGTAAGTATTTCCGATGTCCAAAGCATGATGATTCCCTGTGTTCAAAAGAGTCAATGCAAATATTTCAATTACTCGGTGAATTGAGTTAGCTATAGCAAAGGAATGATCTTAGCACTGAAATGTTCACAGGCGTAGACCGTGAACGAAGTTGATCAACATATTAACATACAAATCATTGCTTTTTTGTGAATGTTGAATAATTTTTTCGGCAAACAAGTTCATGTTGATTTCTTGTTGATCTCTAGAGTTCGAAGCTAACAATCTCCGTATCTGTTATAAATGCTAGGCGTTTTTGCAGTGTTGCCTGAAGAACTTCCTAATCCCGAAAACTCTAAACAAAGAGTTGAGGTGAATTCTTGATTAGTATAAAACGTTTATCGTAGAAGTATTATACTATTCACACGAGTATCTTTTAATACAATCTGACGTCTTTCCGCATGACTGTAATCATTCATACATACAACTTTTTATTTCAAATTATATGACGTAAAATAGTGATACCCGTTTTGAAAGGAAAGACGATGAAATAGATTTTGCATTAGGTAGCTACCATAGAAGCTGATCGATATATTTGTCGGCTCTTACAAACCAAACCGAACCGATGGTTTGGGTCGCTTTTCTATGAAGATTTCGCAAGAGTTGTTTCGCTTTAATTGGGCAACGTTCTTTATCCTTTCAATGGGTTCCTAAAAGGTAAAAAAAGTTTTAGATTCATGTGAACATATCGACAAAGAACAGAATTCGATTCTACTTTGTTTGGCCTACCGAGGACATCCTGTTATATTTATTGTTTTCCTGCAAGATCTTCTACATTTCTCTTGCTTATTCGCGTGCCAATTAGCTACGCTAATTATAACGAGCGAGTTGTTGTGAAGAGAACTTGTGTGTTCAAAAATTAAGAATGACATTTTTAAAGGACGAACACATCTCTGGGCTATCTTAAGAATTGATTTGCATGAACATTAGTTATCTATGAATGGTTGTCACTTTCTATTTAGTATTCATTTGTTTCAGTAGCTGTTTTCTCATCTGATAAATAAAAATCGGCACAGCAATTAAAACTATCATTCACACTCTTTCTAGCCATTAAAGAGTATTGATTCATTAGTTCTTACAGTATTCGAAGTTTAAAACTATATACAAAATGGGCAAGAAGACATCAGCGACGTCGAAACAAATCATCACTACAACTACTGACACTGTTGCAGCAGCATCGTTGCCATTTTTTCGATCACGAACGGTACGAATTGTGCAAAATTTTCTTTTGGTCTGGCTCGATGCCAAAATCGACGAGCACAAGGAAGATTTTAAATATTCTCTCACACAACTTCGAAATATTGTTAATACGGTAGAGGTATTTATTGATGCTGATCAATGCATCGACTATTTGAAAAGTATCAAAGATGAAAAAATCTTTTTAATTGTCTCGGGAAAACTCGGCAAAAAAACTGTGTCACTCGTGCACAATATGACTCAACTTGATACCATCTTTGTTTTCTGTAGAAATAAAGAGCGACATAAACAATGGGCAAAAGATTGGTCAAAAGTTCGACATATTTCAACCTCAATCGAATCAATATGCAAGCGATTAAAAAAAGTTGCTCGCGAATGTGATCATGACAAAATACCGATGAGCTTCCTTCCAAAGCAGATAATGATAGAAGCAGCATCGAGTCAACAAAATATCAATCAATTAGAACCGTCGTACATGTATTCTGTGTTATTCAAAGAAATTATATTGGAAATGGATGCAGATGATGTGAAACCCATAAATGATCTAGTGGTCTATTGTCGTCAACAACAGATCTCCGAAATCCAATTGGAGTATTTTCAGCATAAATACCATCGGAAATCGCCAATAAGGTGGTATACTTGTGAATGTTTCCTTTATGGCATGCTCAACAAGGCTTTACGTTTACTTGATATGGAGGCAATGACCAAAATGGGCTTTTTTATTCGAAATCTCCATCGACAATTGGAACAAGTGCACAAAGAACAACTGGATGCATATAAGAAACAATTTATCGTTTATCGTGGTCAGGGGCTTACCCAACAAGACTTTAACCATCTAGTCGACACGAAAGGTGGGCTGTTGTCATTTAACAATTTCTTGTCTACCAGTAAACAACAAAAAGAAGCCATGCGATTTGTTGAAGACGCACTTCGAAAATATGAACACAATGTCGGTGTTCTTTTTATTATAACAATCGATCCGAGTAGAGTATCGACTTCGAAAACTCCATTCGCCATTATCGATGATTACAGTGCTTTTCCACAAGAACAAGAAATTCTCTTTTCAATGCATACTGTTTTCCGTGTCGGTGAAATCAAACGGACCGTCAACAATAGTCGTCTGTGGGAAGTTGAATTAACTCTCACAGACGACAATGATCCACAACTGGCTGCTCTCACACGCTGCATTGAAGGAGAGCTCTATGGATCCACTGGGTGGCACCGATTAGGTCATTTGATGCTCAAATTGAGTCACTTCAATCAAGCTGAAGAACTCTACAATGAATTACTTAAGAACTCCTCCAGCGATAGTGATAAAGCAGATATCTATCATATGCTTGGATGGTTGAAAACTGACCAAGGACAATACAAAGAAGCAGCTTCATTTTACTAAAAATCGCTCGAAATTAATCGAAAAACTCTACCAGAAGACCATCCATCATTAGCTTCTACCTACAGCAATATCGGTCAAGTATATAACGACATGGGTGACTATTCGAAAGCACTGGAATTCTGCGAAAAAGATCTAGAAATCACAGAAAAAGCTCTGCCTCCAAACCATCCAGATTTGGCGACTTCCTACACCAACGTTGGTTTTACGTATAAAAGCATGGGCAACTACTCGAAAGCACTTGAATTTTACGAAAAAGCGCTTAAAATAGACGAAGAAACTTTACCTTCAAATCATCCCCATTTGGCTATTTCCTACAACAACATCGGCGAAGTGTATGACAGCATGCATGACTACTCGCAAGCACTCAAGTTTTACGACAAAGCACTTAAACTAAAAGAGAAAGCGCTGCCTCCGAATCACCCCGGCTTAGCTGTTTCAAAACATGATATCGGCATTGCGTATGAAAACATGGGAGAATATATCAAGGCAAGTCAATTTTATGAACGTGCAGTGGAAATCGCACAACTTTCACTACCCTCGAATCATCCACACCTACAATTGTATAAACAACACCTTAAGGATATAAAAACCAAAATGTAAATTTGTTTTTTTCACTAACTTACTCAATAAATTCCTTCTCATAGTCATTTGCGGGTTCCGGTTTGTCTCAGCTCATTATCGTACATGCGCGCCCGAGATCACAGAGACCTCTGTAAGCCTACAATGGGTACATGCTTGGCCACTAGGACTTCCCAACTTATCAATATATTTTAGCCTCAATCAGAAAAACAAAACTTAGCAATTTACTATTTCTCCGTTCTTCTTAATAGAAACAAAAAAAAAATAATAATAAGCAACATATCCAATTTGAGATTGAAGTACATATATCATTGCATGAATAAATTAATAAAGTTACGATTTGACTGATAAGATAATATTGAAGTTGATAATTTTACTTCGAAACATTATAAATCATTTTGTGCTAATACAATATAATATTTATAATAATATAATATCATTCATTGTCATTATAAAAATTTTGGTAATAATTTAATAAATGCAATTAATATAGTGTGTTTTAAACATGAACTGCTAGTTAATGATGATCATTGATAATAATTAATTAGTGATATTGCATTAGTTTTTTTTGCATCAATTAGAAAATAGACCATCGACGATGAACAGATAACATAACTGGATCTCGTCAGCTCAATAATTGATGAGTTGATGATTTTCATCCTATTCGTCGACGACGAATTCATTACTATTCTACAATGTTTTCTTTGATATTCATGCTTATTTTTCTATTAATTTGCTGTAAAGTGAATTTCACTTGGAAATATATTTGATTCTTCTTAGAGTGTCTTGTTTTTTTTTCAATAGTTAACTAGAGTTCTTTCTCCATCATATTCTATAGTTGATTCGAACTTAATGAACTAAATTTATATATCCGTTATATATTATTCAACCGTAGAATACAGATTATTAGAATTTTTACGAAAAGATTTCAAACATTTTTATTTCCGCATACGATAAAACTTCAAGAGTCATGACTTCAACTAGTCACTAAAAACTATAACAATATAACTTTAACTTCATAGAAATATCAAAACAAATCGATAAAATACATTCATGTTCTTTAATTTGGTTCGAAGTTTTCGAGAGAGACAAAGTTGTGAAATGAAAAAAAAAAGGATACCATTTTCAATCTTAACTTTGCTTTCGTTTTAATATCACATGAGAATGAACTATACAAATTTTTTACTGAAGTCATACGAAAATATTTCAAATATTTAAATTATGTTGACAAATAATTAGAAACACCAAATACTTGTTTGATAAGGAAGCAATAGATCGATCTGTTATTACATTTTTCACAAGAATATCAACGGTGTAAAATCTTTAATAAATGTTTCTGATACAGTATTTATCTGAAGTCAATAATAATTGTTGATGTTTATAAAAGAAAATATATTAGTAAAAAAAAAATACTTTATACAAGTTACTTATTTAGAATAATTAACGAAGAAAATGATCTGTAGACGAATGGAACATATTTCGAATTGTGATGAAATTTTATTTAGGTCTTTATCTCACATAGCAGTTCCAGAAGAACCACTGCAGAAATAACCATTAAAATAGAGTATGCAGAGATTGATTCACCACATTCTAGTTTGTGTAACGGCAAAAGAAAATACATGGACTAGAAAATGCAACAAAAGAAAAGGTATTGTTTCATTACTTGACAGGATAACTTTCCCAGAATTCTCGGTTGTGCGAAGCTGCAGAACTCGTCTTTTCGTATTAAACTTTTTTTATTATATAAAAAAAGCATACCTATGTATAAATAGACGAACATTTTTTGAGCTTTTTCGAGACGTTGAACTTTTCATCCGTGTCTCCGCTTGAAAAGTACTAATATAAAAAAAAAGGGCTCTGCCATGCTCTGTATCATGGCATGCATTTTCAAATAAAAATAAGCCTACATCTATAGAATGAAAGCCCATTGAGTGTTTTGCGTCGTTAAATGAGTTATATTTGATCCTTTTTTGTTGAATAACTTTCGAAAACATCGGAGTATGTGGGTGAAAACCTTATCAGTCTCTTTACTTCAGCTCCAACATATTCTGAAAAAGCCGTGTGATTTAAATGTATCTGGGCCAAGATCAGTTTTTGAGAAGCGAAGGCGCTTAAGTGAAAAGTGTCTAGCAAACTATTAGTCAGCAACTTTTTTCGTTCCTAAGGAACTCTGGAAAATTGTTATCGAAACGTGTCCGAGTCATTCTCGTTCACCAATCTTCCTTGCTATGAAGTCGTGAAATAGCCGTAAAACCTCGACTTAAAACTTACACTCATCATATTTTTCTTCGAAATCCACAATGTTAGTATTCCAAAATTATAAAATTATCTATATGTAAGAAAAAATTCGATTCTTTAAGCAAACACTCATAAAATAATAGTAAAACTATCATTGAAAGATTTATCACATCTAATAAAAATCTGTATTTTCTTCTAATCTGTTGAACAACAAAATATATCAATTTTGTTTAATTTATCTTGCGTAATCAGTAATTAGTTAAATATCTATAAAAATCATTCCATGTAAAGAACAAAAAATTTTTCGATGTTAATAATTGTATATTAGCCATTTATTCATCATCAATATGTGTCATAAATTGTCGTGGTATAATTAATAAATCATCACTAAAAACAATGTAGACAACGATATCAGGTTTATTAAATCATGTTGGAAATAATTGTTCCATTGTTCTTGTATGTCCCAGAATAGGTTTAGATATTTTATCCATATCATAATGACTATGCTAATATTTTTCAAATAAAACTTTGGTAATATTGATTAATTGGGTTTATTTGGTAGACTTATTATTGTTGAAGAATTTTGTACAAAAATTTGTGCTATTGAATGATAAATATTTTTGCTTCATTTGTTACAATATTTATGAATGAAGTTTGAGGATAATGAGAAGAAATAGATAAGTAAGAAAAATGTTTTTCTTTTGCTACGGATGATGGAGTTGATTTAAATCGACGTTGTTGTCAATTGAGAGATAACGATGCGTTAGGATTTGTTAGTATTTGTAGAGGACAACATTTTAATCAAGTTAGAGCTGTAAATTCATTTGAACAAATACTTTTGGATATGTGTTGTTTTGATAGAAAATATTTACTGGTTGTTAATTGACGAGAACAACAAAAAAACAACTTGCTATTGATGCTATTTATGGTTCGGATGCGAATGAATTA